TCTCCATTTAAGGATCGTTCAATAGTGTTACATCGCATCCACCGCCTCAGAATCCTAATAGAAGATTGTGCTCCACCCTAACCAGGTATTCTGCCTTCATTCATTTAAACTCATCAAATAGGGCAAAGTGGTGTCAACAAGCTATATTAATAACTCATTAAACAGTGCGAAGTTCAGAGCCGGCCCATCGAGAGGGATTGGATCACTCGATTCATCAATCTCGTTAGGTATTATTCGACCTACTCAGACCAATGTGATTAAATCGTCCGAGCTCAAGACAACCACGAAATCCGAAGAGAAAGAAACTCTTAAGAAGATAATGAACGGACAAGTGAGTTTAGGTGTTGATTACCCCCTTTTATTTGTTTAATTTGTCTAATGCCAAGCGATCATCTCATTTGAATCGCATTTTCATATCAGAGTCACATGTTTGGCGCACGAAATCTGAAGCAGCTTTCCGATTCTAAAAATAAAGGATCCGGCGAGCGAGCTGTGAAGCCTGGCAATAGTTCAATGGCCGATTTTATTCATAGTCAAGTGGTGAGGGAGTATTATCAGCTGCATTAGGTCGGCAACATGTTTTCTCAAAACATTTATTAAAGGATTGCTCTGAAGGCGCCTCTTTCCATGGACCAAAACTGGGATTTGGTCTTTGTGATGGCAAGGATTCCAATCACGATATGATAACTCTTGAAGAAAGCAACTTTTCACAGAAGGACCCAGCCCGGGTATTTGATTGTTTATTCGTATTTTTGATTTTTGGTATTTGTTCAACTTTTCAGACCTGACCCTCCATTTGTTTATTCAATATTTGAATTGAGCTTGTTAAGCTTCGCGCCATTTCAATTCTCAAGAAGGAAAAGGAGCAGCCGCCGGGTAAATCAAGATCAGCAAAGCGACAGAGAGGTAGCGACGGTTCTTCTTTTCCTTGAAGATAAACGTGGTAGTCCTATTACTTACCCTTGTACAGAAAAGTCGAACGAAGCTGCTTCCGCTAAGCGATCTAAGCTTAGTACGCTCGATAATGTGATCGATCTTGACGCACTCCTTGAAAAGAAGAGCATATATGATTCAGAAGCCAGCAAGGTGAAATACTGGAATTTTTCATGCTTCTATTTTTACTTGGTTCTGAGGTTGATGGATACATCTTCAGGCGCAAGGAATGATGGTTCAGAAACATCTAGACTCACTAGAAGCGAAAGAGAAAGTCGAAACATTCGTTACCGAGTGTATGTCAGTAAAAGACGTCAAGGTCGTGAACTGTAAGAAAGTGAGTTTAATAATAATAATAATATTAATAAATCGTAATTATAATACTTTTCTCTCTATTTGGGTTTACTCAAAAATGGGAGCCTGTCAGGGTAATTCAAACATTTTATGTAGAGTCGGTGTAGATACCAGTCGAACTAGCAAGTCTGATTTGCACTATAAATGCATCAACGGTGGTTTGTAGAATTTCTTAAAATATCGAGTTCAGCCCTTCTCTTATTACGTTTAAGTAGGGAAACTGTAATGTGTTCGGAGAGGCAGACTTCCCTTTGCACAGTAAAATACCATCGAATTGCACTCGGAAGGATTGATCGGCCAATCGGCAGCAGGCAGGAAATTGAGTACGCTTTTCCAGTACCAGGCTCATGTTCTCTCATAGTCGTGAAGGAGACCTTCTTCTTGAAGAGTCCGAATAGTACCCTTGAAATAATCTTCCGCCTGGCAGCATCTTCTCAAGAATAATCCTACTTACTTACTATAAAGCGCTTCGTCTGTCTGTCTGTCGTTCTGTCTGTATGTCTGTCACGAAATTCCTTAACTCCTTTAGATCTGCCTGGAGAGTCCGGGTCAAGCGTGGGATGGGTGGGTCATGTCCTCAGAAGTATAAAGCACACATCAGCTTGGCGAAGCCCCGCCCACAGTGGGCGTGGCGAGCATCGAAATGAGCTGGACTGAGGACCATGATTTCAAATTCAGTCACAAGGCGGCCTCAAAATTGGGGTTTGAAGGTGGCTAGAGGTGTGCATTGGTAAGTTAGATCGAACTGGGAAGACCCACCCCCGATGGGCGGGGCGTTCTCCAGAAATGCAATGCTTTATGAAAACGTTTATAACTCGGTTTGGAGAAGGCCAACAGAGCAGGAAAAAGTTGATATAGGAGAAGTATTGTCAAAGGTGTCTCCAGCATAAATGATGTCAGCTGAAGTCCGCCCACAATGGGCGGAGCGTGCCTCGAAGCTCGCTTCGTTTCTTACATTTAAATACGAAAATCCATAATTTCGGTTCCCATGGACCTAGAAAGTTCAAACTTGGTAGGAGTACAGGCACCGTGATGGGAAAACTTATGGTGGGTGGCAAAACCGGACTCCGCCCACGAGGGGCGGGGTTTGTGCGGAAATTTATAACTGCTGTTCTCATGGACCTAGAAAGTTCAAACTTGGTAAGAGTACAGGCGCCATGATGGGAAAACTTATGGTGGGTTGTAGAACCGGACTCCGCCCACAAGGGGCGTGGTTTGGGCGATAATTCTAATTTCCTGTCCTCATGGACCTAGAAAGTTCAAACTTGGTTGGAGTACAGGCACCGTGATGGGAAAACTTATGGTCGGTGGCAAAACCGGACTCCGCCCACGAGGGGCGGGGTTTGGGCGAAAATTCATAAATCCGATAAAGGTCTGTAATGAAAATCAGCTCATGCGGCCCCTTCTCTCACGGCTAGAGCCCCTAGCGCGCGCGAGAGCGTGCGTAGCCGCCTGATATTTATGAAGACGCTACGATCAATCTTGACATCATCCTTGACAGAAAAAAGTAATATTGGTTCTATAGCCTAGATTACAGTCCAAAAGTTCGCAGAAGAAGGCAATCGGCGGTAAAAAATGATCCTCTTCTTACCGACCTTTTCTTTCACCTTTCATTGGTGAAAATTGTGTCGAGGTCCAGCCGTTTAGTAAAATTCCAACACGCTTTTCTTAGGAGATTTTGTTAAAGGAGGTTCCGCTTCTGGTTCGCTCTACTTTGTGCACTTCCATAGACATTTTGAACCTCCTTGTCTCATTTTCAACCTTGATTCACTTGTTCCGAGCCAAGAGCTTGCTAAATAAAGTGTCAGCTCGGCCCACTTTGCGCACAATCCGCCTTGTTTATTTGATTTCCACACTTTTTTCCGAACTCCAGGATGTTTGCGGACAGCGTTGTCAATTTTTGTGTCGGGAACCCTCTGATTGAGTGCACTGTAGATGGATTCCCAGTTTATGTATGCTGAGCGCACTCTATGTAGACCTTGTTACCACATCTGCTCACCTGCACACTGTACATTTCCACGTTTCGTGACTACTGAGAAGCATAGGTATTTTTACCCCTTCAAAGTCCATTTTTCGAAGGTCTCTCCCGTCATGGGAACATGTGCTCTACTCATATTTGTTCCATGTAGCTCTTGGCTCATGATCTGCTTATCCCAACTTGGTAAATCTGTTTAGGTCCAAATTCCCAATGGCACCAATGAGGTGGTGACAAACAGCTGCACTGTTTATTGGTTTACAGTTTAACGGCACAGTTCATAACAAAAATGACTGCTGTGGCTTTTTCCTGGGATGAACCTGTGACTGCCAGGATTGCACAAAGGACGTTTGCGGGTCACTGTTACGGACTGTCACTTCCGAGATACGTCTTGAACTAGATACCTAGAAATATCGTGCTTTTAAACCATATATGCTCTACGTAGCTTGGCTTATGCTCTACTTTTACCAACCTTGCTCAGCTGTTGAACTTTAAATTCAGGATGGCGCCGTATAGGGTGGTGAGAAAAGATAAATAAAGCAAGCTCATGGCTTGTATATATTGGGTTGTAACATAAGTTCGTAGAGTTTTGTGTTAGGGTCATTTTACAACGATTCGCTTTGTTTTTTGGCGAAGTGTATATATTCATTCGGAAGACTCTTTCTCCTCTATAAAA